AGGGAAGGTGGGATTAAGAACGGAGAGAGGTAAAGGGTTGAAGGAGGAAGAGCAGGAGGATGGCAAGGAGGGGCTTGTGATAAGAGGAAGCATACTATGGTTAACGTTGTGAAGCTGATGAGGTCGTGGAAGGGGGTGCAGAAGGAGTGAGTGGTAGGCTGGGTTGTGAGGGGGTGTAAGGGGTAAGAGATAGAGATTCGTAAAACCTAGAAAATCAGACTTGATTTCCGCTTTGATGCTTGCTCTTCCGTTCTCATCTTGACTGCTCATTCCCAGTTACGCTACAGGCAAAGCTCAGATTCTCATTTGTTGCCTGTTAGTTTAATTCGCTCTCAATGATGAAGACGGGGTGGGAACTCAAGCTGCAGTGTTGGCTCAGAATCATACCAGAAAGCTCAAGGAGCACCAATTTTGAAGATGCTGAAAACCACAATTCAAAAGCCCTTTCCATTTACACCGCCTCTCATTTTGGCGAGGTGAGCCACCGGCTAGCCCCCCATTCTCGGCTATGTGTGTACAAAAATGGTTTGCCTTTTCCGGGGAACCCAGCCACCTCTGTCTGTCTCTCTTTCTCTCTAAACCTCTATACCCGTATTTCTCAAGCACGGTCAGGATCCGCGCATACAGGCTTCACCTCGAAGCCGTAGGCCTCCTTGAGCCTCTGTGCTCTCCGCTCATCGTATCCAGGGAGCTTGATGGCTGTTTTTTGCGTCAAACAATGTCAGCATTTTTCCTTTGTCAAAGGTGCAGGAAAAAATATGACTCACATCTCCCCTCCCCAATCTCAGCAATCGTCTCCTCCACCGGCCTTCTGTATCTCTTGCGGAGCATCTCCTTGCGCTCGAACTCGTCCACGTCGGGGTTGCGGCCGGCGCCTTGGATGCGGCCGCCGGTGTACTCGAAGACGGCCGAGGTGACGGACATGACGGCGCCGTAGCCTAGGATGGCGGGGATGCGACCGGCTGTTGTTTTTGGTTTTTGTCAACATCTTCCTTCCTTTCCTTTCCATGCAAGGTCTAGCTAGCTAGCAGTAGGAGGGGTTGGGTTACCTCTCAACCCCAAGACAGCACCACCAAAAGCACCAGCGATAGCATTGTTGTAGTGATCGTTCTTCTCGCGGAGGTTGGCGGAGGCGACGCGGGAGAACTCGTAGACTGAGCCGACGGCGGCTGTTTTTATATATCCATGTCAGTATGAATGCGACCAATTGATTGACATGACGGGGTGAGGGTGGCGGGTACCAAAAGTAGCGGCGATGTTGCCGTGCTTGGAAAAGACAGCCCAGGGACCGACGTGCTTCTTCTCGAGGGAAGTCTTGACGGCGGCGAGGAAGAGACCTCCGGTGCCGAAGAGGGCACCCATTGTCAGGGCGGCGTGGACAGCATCTTGGGGCTTGTATTGGTCGGAGGAGGAGGAGGAGGAGGAGGAGGAGGAGTCCCCTCCGGCGTGGGGCGCCATTTTGGGCTGGATTTGGAGGGGGGGGGGGTTGCTGAGGGGGGTGGTGGGAGGTTTATCAAGGTATGGGTTGAGAGCTTGGGAATATCGTTATGTCAGTTGGATGCGGCGGCTGCTGCTGCTGCTGCGGGTTGCGAATTGGATTTCTGGGAGCCCTGGGCGTGGAAGGGGACGTGCATTGGATTTTAGAGGGTTTGATTGGTTGGTTTTTGGAGGTTGGATTTGGGAGTCTGGAGCAAGGTGTGTCTGTACAAGAAAGTCTGGGCTGGACAAATGGGTTCTTATAGTTTGGGGGTGATGGCAATCGAGGAAGTATTGAGGCTGCTGAAGACTGAATTGATGGTTATTGATTATTTTAACATGCCAATCATGACGTGGAAACTCGTGGAAGCTAGCTCTTCAAACAAAGTCGGGTCACGGCGGTACTTTGTTTGTTGTTGCCAACTGCCCCTCCTTGTGCCATCCATCCAGTTGCTCCATTCTATCATCACAGGTCGTGCCTCCCACCGCTCCCTCCACGGCTGCGTCAGCTGCCAGCCGTCAGAGGCAAAAATCGATTCTACGTAGCAGGAGCTACCATCAGGAACTCCGGACTCACTGTCTAATATAAAACGAAGGGAAACTTAGTTGCCGGCTGTGACGCAAACCCAACCTGTTCCCCATAATTTCATCATCTCCATCATCTCCGTTTATCCAGCAGACAGACAGCCATACATACGAATACAGCATCATCCACCAGTAAGTCTTGCTTGGGACTCTTGATGTCGAGATTGTTCTAACACATCCCACCAGTGCCCCGCCTATCAACCATGGACTCCCTCAACACAGGTGGCCGCCTTGCCAGAAGGCTCATCGAGGACTGGTACCGGGGTGCTCTGCAGCATGCCAACCGGTCTGAACCCCGACTCCAGTCTTGCTACCATCTGCGAGGAGCCCGCCCCGGCCCAGTCGGTCCCAACGACGACCACGACCTTATCATGATTCCCTCGCAGACACACGGCCACCAGATGGCTTGTCTATGCAAGCACTGCCGGTACCACTTCGTCTTCACCTGGGCCGAGCCAGAATTTAGTAGCCCTGGCCATCCTCAACATCACTTTGTCGTGGCACCGGGGGATGACGAATCCTTCGGCGAGGAGAAGGGGAAGCAACTCCTCGTTACTTGGCCTAGTAGGGACAAGAAACTGGGCCCTTTGATGCGCAAGACCAGCTACCGGTGCAGCTTTTGCGGCTTCAGCATCCGGCTCGATGTGTCAGCACCACGCCTGGCCAGCAGGTGGATCGACATCGTCACGGATGAGTCGCGCGCCAAGAGAAACCTCAAGAGGGCCATGGACGAGGACCCGGGCAGATTTAAGGACATGACGCAAGAGAAGCTCGCTAAACTCGAGTCCAGCGCCCTCATGACACTGAACATGTACATTACAAACATCATGTCTAATGATTCCACCAGTGCCGAGAAGAAGATATCGGAGCGCAACAAGACGTTCATGGTGCAATTCGGTCCAGAATGCGAGGAGCTCTTCCTCTACCTTGGCTTCACCAAGAGGCAAGAGGCCGAAGACACATTTTACATCTCCCCACAGGTCCCACCGGAGAACGGCGGCAGGACATTCCTGTACTCGGAGAGATCTTTCTTTGAGAACGTCAAGAGCGAGATACAGAGTGTGATCGACCAGAAGAGACCTGAGCTTGTTCATCAGCATTCGCCTGCTCGCATAAAACTGCAGACGGTACTCGGAGTTGACGATGCCCAGACGCGGACCGTGCACTGGAAAGTGTCGGAATCCGATCTACACTACTTCTATTTACTGGGGGCTTCTTCCAAGACAACCGAACCCATGTTGATTTGGGCATATGAGCGGCAAGCCGCCGTGGACCGGGATCACGAGCGCTACTACAGGGAGGCTTTCAATTGCTTGGCCTACCACGGGGACGAGGAAATGCAGATGTACGCCGTCCACTTAGATCAAAAAGCCTTGCCTCGCCCCGAGAAGAGTGAATATGACAAGGACTGGGAATGGTTCGGCTTTTGGAGGGCACAGGGTCGAACTCTGACCAAGGACCGGATCATCGAGCGGTACAAGCATTACAGAGAAACCAGGCCCGAAGCAGGACATTTGCACAGGCTGCACTTGGCCAAAATTGCTCGGGATTTAGGCCAAAGGGATTTGGTCTACATTGCCGTGGTCGACATGGACGAGGCCGAGGCCAATGGCGTGCTCGACTCAACGGCCCAAACAGCACCTGATACCATAGCCTATGCCGCCCTGGAAAGTGTGAACAACAATGAAAAGGACGCGGCGGTTGTTGTGACGGCAATGAATCTCATTGGAGCGAGAATGGCCAGACAGCGTAGAGGTGACAAGGATTTTGACGAGGCCTTGGGCGACTTCGAGACCATCAGCGGGCAGCTGGAGAGCCTCGTGAGCGGCGAAACCCAGAACCAGGACTTTTGCGATCCTGTCAGTAATGGACAAGAGATGGAGGTCGGGGCCGGAGACCTGACGTTGCCCGTCGGGCTTGACAACATTCGCAACACTTGCTACCTGAACAGCATTCTGCAGTATCTCTACACAGTCGATGTCATCAGGGACCTGTTGCGGACCTTGGACCTAGACACGCCCGAGGCCAGTACAGACAGGGTGGGCGAGATCCTGAGTGGAAGTGTGAGCGGGGTGGAAGAAGGCCAAAAAAAGGAAGCTTTCCTCGGCCATGAATTCGCGCGCGAGCTCAAGACTTTGTTCCACGAGATGGAAGAGACTCGATATACTCACGTCAAACCACGCCAGCGGCTTGCCAACGCCGCCATGGCCCGAGCTGATAAGGGAGGCTCTACTGCTGAGTCCAAGGCCACTGGCCCCAAGGCTGCCAACTCTGCGGTTCCCGAGCTCAAGATCACGACATCTACAGACGCTGATGCCAAGATGGTGAATGGTGAGGAGACCTCCGAACTCGAGCACGTCGAGACGGCCAGTGTATCTAGTTCACAGACGCTGGTGGGAGAGACGCCAGCTGCTGCGTCAACGGGACCGGGGAAGAAGATGGAGAAGGCGGGGCCCCTGGAAGCTTTGGTAAAGGAACTTGACCAAGACGAGGTCAAGGGCACTGCGCAACAGGATGTCGACGAGGCCATGGGAAATATACTGGAACACCTTCAAGCAGCCCTCAAGCTAGCCCGTGCGCGCCGCAATGCCGGGGAGGACGGAAGCGAGGAAATACCCGATCCCATCGACGATCACTTTTACAGCAACTTTAGGATCTATAACCGGACGCGCGGGAACGACGACGTACAGGGCTGGACCACACATGAAGACCGCAACCGCATGATCATGGCACCGCTTCATGAGACAAAGGCGGTCCAGGAGGATCTGTACCAGGCCATTGGGCGCGGCATGGATGTCCAGCTGAATGAAGAGACAAACAAGATGACGTATTCGGTCTTCAAAAGGCCTGCTGATATTCTGCACTTTCTATTCCCCAGGAGTCGTGCGCTCGACTTGAAGAACGAGAATCCAGTGGAGCTGAACGATCCGTTGTATTTGGATCTCTTCATGGATGTTGTCCCAGGGGACGAGCGGTACGGGAAGCGGACGAGGCTGTGGGCTCTCAACAAGCGGTTGGAGGAGCTGAATACCAAGCCACGGGCGTTCGAGCCGGGTTCGGCCAAGATTTTGTCGGAGGAGGATATTGACAGGCTTGTGACTGAGAATGGTCTTATTGATGCTGATGGGGATTATGAGCTCGTTGATGCCGACGAGAGGACTGCTCTTGCCACCAAGGAGGTTCAAGGGGGGTGGGTTGCGGTTTCCCCCGAGAAGCTGAAGCAATTCGAGGAGCGCCAGCGGGCTGATGATTCGGCAGAGCTTCTCAAGGAGAAACAGGGGCTTGTGGTCGGGGAGGTTGAATACAGGCTTCACGCGGTGTTTTGCCACACTGGAACCCCCCGATCCGGCCACTATTGGGTGTGGATCAAGGATTTTGAGCGGGGTGCGTGGCACAAATACAATGACGAATTGGTGACGGTGCACAGCGAGGAGGATTTCAGGAAGCAGGCGGGGACTGCGGCTGAGCCTTGCTGGGCGGCCTATGTACGTGCTGACAAGGTGGCGGGCTTGGTGAGCACGCCGCTCCGGAAGAGGGTACGGGGTGGGTGAGCAGCGTGGGCGTGTTGGGGCGATGGCATGATTGGGCAGCATTTGTTTGGGTTGGAGGTGTGTGTGAGTTGTTGAGAAGTAGGTATTTTTTAAAATGAGAAAGAGGCATGTTACCTAGCGAATTTTGGAAGGGTGGTGACTGTTTTGGGGGGCGTGGTGACTATCTTTCACGGGGGTTTGATTAGGGAAAAGGCTTCGAAAGATAGCTAACAGACCCAGCGATGGACTGTGGTGGATGTGCACCACGAGCTTCTGTGTGAGGTGTGAGTGAGGTGATGGGTGTAGGTGAGACTGTCTAGCTTGTGTTATTATATTCTTGACGATCGAGAGGGTTGGTTGGGGTAAGGGGGGAGGTATGATTTCAAGAGGGAGGAATTACGTCGGGGTTGAGCAAGCGATTTGGTAGGTTTTCATGAGCATTTAATGGTGTGTGGTTGTCAGTGAAATGGAATATGCCATCTGGTGTTGCTTGTAAGAATGACGAGACAGGTTGAGGGATCTATGATACACTTGGGTATCAACACTAGATTTGATGCTCTGCTAAGAGGCATAAATGTCAATCACGTTTGGTAGGTTAGCCGGAGAAATATATGTAGATGACTTGCGAATTACCAGTTGACGAATGCTATGCTGCAGATTGCTATGCTAGAATGCCCATGCTATTCCCTTTCCTTGCCCTTGCCCTTATTTCTGCAAAATACACCTTTCAACAACGAGTTATGCTCTCTGAGTTCTATTTCCGTTCCTTTCCCTGTCCATGCAAAACATACCCAACAGCCAGCCCGTGGTCTGCATCCCCTTTCTCTTGCCAAGTGATGCCATGTAATGCAGTGATGTGTACAATACTCCCTCCCCTTCCCGGTCCCCAGATCCAATTCCCATCTCACCTACCTCCTCCTCCTAAACCTCGAATTATACCCCGGCCCGCCCTTCGCCCCGCCTTGCTTGAGTTTCAGCCTCTTGAAATTCGCATGCGCAGTCGCCTTGACTTTTCTTCCCGCCTTCTTCACCGTCCCTTCCTCTCTCTCATCCTCCTTCTTCTTCCCTTTTGTCTCGGCCAAGGTCTTCCTAGCCCCCTTGCCAGTAGATTTGGGGGTGGGCCTGAGGGTGTCGAAATCGTCGTCATCCTCGTCGTTGCCCTCAAAATCCGAGCCAGAGAGTAACAAGTCGTCTTGAGGAGCCTGAGGTGGCTGGTCGGGGTATTGCGTTTCAGGGATGGGTTCGTCGTCGGAATCATGGGGAGAGTTGTCGGTAGGGCGCTGGAAACGGGTAGGCTTCATCTTGACCATTCTTGTGGTGCGCTTCTGCCCTCGCTTTTTGTAGACTCGAAGGGGGTTGCCTTGCGTATCTACCCCTTCCCTGCTGAGATCTATTTCGTCATCGTAGGCCTCGTCGTCGAAATGTGATAGCAGGACAGGTTTCTCTTCGGTATATCTGGGTTGGGCTGGTTGGGGTGGTACTGTCTGGCCGTCCCCGATTTCTGTCTCGACGCCCTCTGGTACTGTAGCTAACTTGGGAACGGCAGGTTTGGTGACTGGTACGCCGAGTTCCTCTGCTTCCATTTCCCGGAGAGCATCTTCTTCATCTTGGTGGGCCTCGTCTTCTATTTTTCGGAGATCGGCGACGACTTCGGAGAGACCTTTGACCTTGACGCCTTTGCGGCTTAGAACTTGGGGAAGACGGAGGGGGCCGACTTTCCAGGAGCCGTTTTCGTCGGTTTCGTCTACTGGAGGAGGAAGGGTGGTCCGGCGGAGGAAGGCGGGGGTATTGAATAGTTTGCTGCGGGTTGTGGAGGGGGTTGTGGTGGTGTTGTTTGGCTTTTCGTGGAGGGGTGTGGTGACAGCTCCAAAGAGGTTGGTTCTTCCGGCGAGAGGGGTGGAAGCATCGTGGGCGATTCGTTTGGCAGAGGGGGTTGTGAGGTCGCCTAGTTCGGAGGTGCGGCGTTTGCTGGGGGTTGCTGAGCCTATTGGCTTGGGGAAGGGAGATTCGGTTGGTTTGGAGGGGGTTTTGCCTAGGAGGTCGAATAGGCCAAGGACTCGGCCGTCTTTCTGGGGAGTTGGTCCAATTGAGGTTGGGAGGGCTGGGCTGAAGAGCTTGCGGGCTGTCGAGGGGGTCGCGGCTCCGGGAGTTCGGGCAGTTGGGGACTGCATGTATGGATTGGCGTCATGATGTTTTCGTGGTGTTTGTGCCGTCTTGGAGTGCTTCGACGGGGTCTGGGGTGGTCGGTGGGAGGACGATTTTGGTCTTGAGGGTTTTGACAGCTCCTCTGGCGGGATCTTGCCCGAGAGGACGTCTCTGAGTTTGCTGTATTGCTTGTACTTTTTGGCAATGTCGGGATTCTGCTTAATGTCGTTGCGGCTTGGCTTGTTACCGCCGTGTTCTTCTTGCCAGTCGGTCTCCCATTTTTTCAACTCGGCTCGCACTTGGAGGGATTGGAGCTTGAATTCGGCTCTGGCCTGATCGTCCATCCTGGCAATGCGGTTGTGTGGCAATTAGATGGTGATAAGTGAGGAGGGAGGGTCTTGGTTGTCTTGAAAAGGATGGCCAGGTACCTCTGTACCTTGTACCTCGACGCGTCCAAACGCGTCTTGTCAGATTTAAGCACGTCCACCCCGCGCCCCACAATGAGATCACTGCAGGGGCGCGCCAAGACTCGTCCAGGTCCCTGCAGCCCAGCTTTAAGAGATTCGCTCAAGGAGAGCAGCTCTCTCTATGTATTTAATACATACTCTGTACCTAGATACAAATACATTTTGTTGGGTGAACCTCCAGCACAAGTCAACAAGCCGACCGACACCCATCACAAAATGGCAGAACCACCAATACCCCTCCCAGACGACGCCAATCCAGCCGACATCAAATCCCAAGTCCTCCAACTAACCCTCACCTCGATCCAGTCCTCCGACAGCGACGAAAACCCCTGCGTCATCTGCCTCGAAACCATCACCTCCCCCTCGACCGCCCTCCCATGCGGCCACTCCAACTATGACTTCCTCTGCCTCGCCAGCTGGCTTCAGCAACGGCCCTTTTGTCCCCTATGCAAAACAGGCGTCACCCAAGTCCGGTATACCGACGCCGACACCCAAAACGAACACCTCTACAACGTCCCACCCCTAGCACCCACACCAGAACAACCTGCCCGGCAGACAGTCTCACGAGCGGCCAACCCGGCAGACGTTCTCCAATTGGGCCCATTGGATTTCGAGAGATATCTTTTCGGAGACGTCACCTCTATCCAAGTCCCCCCAGTCCGGCGCAACCTTCGCCGAAGACAGAGCAACCATCAGCCACCACCACCACCCAGCACCCCCGACCAAGCCCTCCAACGACGCCAGCACATCTACCGGCACAACTCTTCTCTCTGCGTCCCCCCCCCCCCCCCTTTCTATACCTACCCCACTAAAACACTACCCTAGAATTGGCTCTTCCCCAAAAAAGCTAATTTCCATTCGTGCCTCAACAGCACTCTTTTTTCCACCCCCAT